TGGGGGTGCAGGGCACTGTCTTGGCAGAGAAACCCCCAGTACCAGGGGAGGGGACAGTGTGGGGCAGTGCTCCCCCGCAGCACCGCTGTGCGGCTGGGACAAACAGGATGACAGCCTTCCCCCCCGGCCCCAGACAGCTCTGGGGAGCCGAGAGGTGACAGGCAGGGAGGAGCATCATCCCCCAGTTTGGGTCTTTGTTGCCTCCTCCTGCTCGGCAAAGGGTGGTTGTGTCCCTCCTGTTCCAGCGCAGGGACCCTGTGGGAGGCCAGCAAGCAGGCAGGGCCAGCCCGTAGGAAATAAAGCCCTGCTCCTGCAGTCAAAACCTGGAAGGCACTGAGAGATCCACTCCCAGAGACCTAGATCTACTCCCAGAGACCTAGATCCTCTCCTGGATCTCTCTGTGCAGCCAAGACAGGTCCCCCCAGCCTTGCAGCGTGCTGGGCTCGTGGGCAGGGTCTCAGCAGCATGTCTGTCCTGTTGCAGCCAGGTCCTGATGAAAGGAAGTCAGAGCTGCTGCCCGCCGGCTGGGAAGCCAACAAGGAGGTGTATACACTGCGCTACAAGTCCACGGACAATGCCCATGAGCTGCTGCTGAAGGCCATCATGGTGGAAGACAGTATGATCCTCAATGTCATGGTGAGCACCCAGGCTGGTCCCTGCAGGTTTGGGGTCCTTCAGGTGCAGCAGCTGCTGCAGCCCAAGATGTGCAAAGAACAGCAGGGCCCATTTCTTAAATTTTTGCTGTTACTTGCGGTTTGCCTTGCACACTCTGGCCCAGGATTTGCCCCTTTTGTGTCCCCTTCCCAGCTCAGGATTCTTCTGCAGATCTTTTCTCCTGTCCCCGACAAGCACCTACCTGGGGTGTTTTTGCTTTCACCCTTTGCAGCCCTGATTGGGAGAGCGAGCAAGGACAGCCTCGCTGTACACTGGAGTTTGTTTGCTCCCGGGGATTCGGGCACAGCACAGGGACGTGGCAGGAAGCAGGCAAGCCCATTCCACACCCGGGCTGTGGCTGTACCTGCTCCTTCCCTCATTCCCAGCTCTGCCGGGCTGCTGACTCTGTGTTTCACCTGTATTTTGACAGGATCGTAGTTCTCAGAAGGTGGCAGATGTGACCTTGGCAGTGGCAGACTACATCAACCCGGAGCACCTGGACGATTTCCACAAGTAATCTCAGTTCCCTGGCATTTTCTGCAGGAGAAAATGTCCCACCGGCATGGGGAGGCGGGCAGGGACCAGGTTAGGAGGAACCTGGAGGACTCTCTTCCCCCAGTACAAATGCCTGGGGCAGTCCAGCCAGCCCTGAAATGCAGCCAGGGCTCCCTCCTCTGCCTCCCTCTGCGCTGCTGGCTGGCAAGAGGGATTTAGGGGATAGTGGGACCCTGGGTCAAAGCCCAGGGGAGAGCCACTCTACCTGGGAACGGGCTGGGCCAGCCCAGCACTTTTATTTCCAGAGCCCTGCCTGCCTGTCTGTGCTGGGTGGACACTGCCCTGTGGTGCTACAGCTTCAACCGTGGGCCGGACACCTTCAGCCATGGCCCAGACACCCTGTGGCCTTGCTAAAGGCCAGTGCTCTGTGTTGTGGTTTCCTCCAGTGCAGAACTGGTCGGGTCACAGCCACAGCACAAGGGAGTCCCCTGGGCTGGGTGGCACCTCTGCCCTCTCCAATACGGTCAGGGCTTTGGTGCCACTGTGTGCTGTTACCCCTTCACGTCCCCTCTGTGCTGCCAGCTGGGGACACATTTTGTGCCAGGGATGCTTTGGGCATGTCTGTCCCCTCACCGCACCTCTCGCAGCCGGTCCAGCACCTTGCACGCGGGTGCCATGGCCTCCTCAGCCCACCACATCACCTCGCCTCCCTGCAGGGTGTACAAGAACACTGAGGAGCTGCGGACAAGGATTGCTTCGGGCATCATTGCTCCCCTCACGGCCCCCACAGAAAAGGCCAAAAAGGAGCCTGAAGCTGAGAAGAAGGATCCTGACTTGCCCCGGGATTACGACCCCCTCAGGGTCCCTCCCCGGCAGCCAGCAGGCACGAGAGCACCTTCCTGGTGAGTAAGGAGCGGGTGGCTGCTGATGGTCCTCCGTGAGAAGGGATGTGATCCTGGCACAGCTCTCCAAACTTCACCTCGGGTCCCCATCTCACACACATGGGATGCGGAGCAAAGGGGATCCAAACCTTCCCCAGCCAGTCTCAGCCTCGTTGGCCGCATGCTTGGGTTTGATTTAAGTTGCCTGCTGAGGGATGGCCTGTTCTGGAGCTGTGTGTTGGTTTGACCCTCCTTTGGCATTGCCTGGGGGTGTAGCTGGAGACCTACAGACCCAGGAGGGAGAGGGCAGTGTGCAGGGCAGGGGGAAGGTGAGGGGTGGAAGGAGGGAGACCCTGCTCTATGCTGGCTGAGGGACCATCAGGGCTCCGGGGCTGGCAGAGCAGGGACAGCAGTGGGAAGGACGGTGCCATTGGGAGGGACACCAGAGCTCGGGGTGTCAGATCGAGCTGTGGGCTCCAGCAGAGCTGTGGGGTCTGTGCTCATGGCAGAGGGGAGAGGGCGTGTGGCCGATGCAGAGCTCTGCCTTCGCTTCGCACAGAGCCGGGGCTACCTCTGAGCCTCCTGCCTGCTATGGCCGGTAGAGCTGCCCTCCCAGCACGATGCACCCAGCCGGGGCTTGGGGCCAGGCCCAGGAGGTGCGGGCTTGGTGGAGGGGAACAGAGACCTCTTCTCCTTGCTCTCCTGACCCCACTTTCACTTTGAAACCCTTTGCTGGCAAAGCTGGGGAGAGGGGACACATGGCACCCGCTTCACCATCCCTGCCTGGCCCCTTCGTGCCCAGCCATCCCTCGTACGTGGCAGGCGGGCTCCTCCCTCTCTCCCCCCACAAGCTGTAATCCCCTTTGGGCTGGAAGTCAGACACTGCGGTAGCTCTGCTGTCTCTTGGGGACTGGCTGTGGCTTCTGCCTTGCGTGTCACCTCTTGCTTCTTTAACCCCACTGCTGTCTGTTGGTGTTCAGGGATGCTCAGGGTGCAAGATGCTCCTCGGGGAGGCCTGGGCAGACAGGCTGGAGTTGGGCACAGCTCTGAAACCATGTTATTGGCACATATTATTGGCAAGGAGATGTGACAGCTAGCTGCAGGCTCATCGCCCCACTGTCCTCGCACTCCTGGAAGCGGGACCGTCATTGTGTCTCCGACTGGGACACACTGGAGAGTCTGGCCTAGCCCGGCACCGCTCAGGGAGCCCCTGGCATGGAAACTCCCAGCGTCCACAGACAGCTCCAGCCTGGAGCAGTGGGAACAGCAGGGCCCCCTTCATCTCAGCAAGCTTCCCACAAGCCTGCCATGCACACCGGTGTCCACACCCAGCTGCACCCTGGAGCTGGCTGGGAATGCTGCGTCCTGAGCATGGGGTGGCTCCCAACGCCAGCCCGCTCACACGGGGTCCTGCAGGTCCCAGGGCCCTTTGGGTGCTGCAGTGCTTGCCGTGGGAGAGCACCCATGAGCACAGCATCAGCAATCATGCTGGCTGCACTGCTCTGCCTGCTTGCTCGCTCCTGCTCGCTCCACGCAGCCGGTCTCCGCTGAACGTCTCGCTGTATTCTGTGTTTCAGGCCTTCCCCCTTGAGCCCCTTCGCTGTTGGTGGGGAAGACCTGGACCCTTTTGGGTGAGTATGGCTGGGAGAGGTCGTGCTTTGCGTGCCTGGGAAGCATCCCCTGCTCTGCCCTTGGGATGTGGGGGGGTGGCTGGGGACCTTCTCTGGAACAGCTGGAGTCCGCCTGGCTCAGGCATCCAGCGAAGTGTCTCTAAGTGCGGATGGCGATGGGACAGTTGCTCAGTGCAGATTGCAGGGGACCAATTGACAGTTGCTAAACCTCAATATGGTTCTAATATTGTAATAAGATCCCGTCTCTTGCATAGATGATAGGTTGCAATCTGCGTCTGCTTAATAATCAGCTTGTATTCATTTAACATGCAGTAATTCCTTCAGTAAATCAAAGCTGAATATGTCGTTAAGTGAATGTAAGCCTCTAATTTAAAATGTTACCAGCTGCTGCGTCTACAGCCCAGCAGTCTGGAGAAGGGGAGGCTTAAAGCCGAGTCCACAGATTCTTGAGTCCTGGTTGTGAGCCTCCCGGCTGTCTGAGGCACTCGAGAGAAAGCCTGGATAGAAGGAGGGCTGTCTGGGGGGCTGATCTTCACAGATACATCTCTCGGTCTTTGGTTTGGTCAGGCAAGGAGAACCTGTCATCTTCCATTCCAGTTAAAAGCACATAGTCAGACAAAAACCAGCTCTTGGAGTCGTTGCAGAGCGCCCTGCAGCCCAGGGGAGTCCTATTTGGAACCAGTCTCCTGTGGGGATCACATTTTTTCCCCTCTTGCAAGACTTGGTTCTCCGTGGGTTTGGCTAGAAAAGGGCCAGCTAAAAACGTCCTGCCTGGCTGGAAGGAGAGGCCTGGAGCCTGGGTGGCTGGAAGGAAACCTGATAGCACGAGGAGAGGGGGTTCAGTTGTGGGGGAAACCCTGTTTCTCTCACTGCCTCCAGCCCTTCATCAGAAGTTTCTCTATAAATGACAAAAAAGATTGTAAATGGAAGTAGATTTGTGCACTGACACCTGCCAGCGCTGGGGCTGGAGACCCAGACTCCCAGGCATATGCTCGTGGGGCCTGGCTGTCCCAGGGCACTTTGGGCAGCTGGCCTGGCGTAATGGAAATCATTAGCACGGTTGTTAATGACTTGTATGATGGCAGCGGTGTCCAGAGGCTCCAGCCGAGTTTGCACAAAGCCAACCATGAGGAATGGCACTCGCAGCGTGGGGCAGCTCCGAGGAGCCGCCGTGGTCAGCAAATGACTTCCAGGCAGCTCTTTGGAAGGGCTGGCGGGAGCCCCGGCCGGGTCCATGAGCTCTTGCAACACTGCGCCGGGCAGGACATGCTGCTCGCCCGGGAGAGCAGAGAGCAGGGATGGGAGTATGAGCCGGCAGCCAGGGCCAGCGGGTCCAACACTTCCCCAGGGGATGGTCAGCAGCCCACTGGGACTCACCAGCCATTGCTGATGCCTTAAATGGCTCCTTGCAGGAACCGGGGGAAGAGGGAAGCTGCCTCTCCGTTGCTCTGAGTGTCTGTTTTGGCATTGGCTTTGAGGAAGGCAGGCGGGAAAAAAGGCGAGGGCTGTTGCTTCCCCATGCATGTCTGCAGCTAGCTCTGCGGGTTTGGTGGCATAGTGGTGCCCCAGATCTGGGTGTTTGCTGGTGCCCTGGCTCGGGCATGCGCGCTGCAGCTGTAAGACTCCTGCCTCGGCGTGACGATGAGCTGTGATTCACATCCTGCCCCTGGCCTTGTGGCGTAGTGCGGGCAGGTTTGCAGGGCTGTGATAACCCCAGGTAGGAGCAGGGTGTGATGCATTCGGGTTCCCTCCTGTGGCAGACAGCAGCCTCCATGGGACAGGGATCTGCTGTGCCCCAGCACTCTTCCACACGTACACATACAGATATCAACTGCTCTCTGTCTTGCTGCCGTGGGCTCGCCTCGCTGGCTTGCCCTGGCCCGTGTTGCAGTGGGTTAGGGGTGTTTTCCGTCCCACGTGCT